AATCAAAGTGCATGAAAATAATAATCACAACAACAGCTACCACTGAGCGATGGACTTGGCCAAGCAACAACAACGACAGCATGATGAGTTACCCACATTTCAGTGGCGCCAACAATAACAACAACAACAACAGCAACAAACGCAACAGCCACTACTTACAGACAGCAACTCCAAGTGAGACCCAGTAAATGCGCTTAAACTGAGGCAAATCTCTTATTAGAAGCTATTGGGCTGCTGCCTGTGCTGCCTCTGTTGCTGCTGCTATTGCTTGCTTCGCTGGCCACTTGGCGTGTTGCATGTGCCACAGCGCATATATAGAAATTACATAGACATATACCTACATATATACAAGGCCTATATGTAGCTGCGCTTTGTGCCACTTCAGAGTTATTGCCCACGCATGCGACAAAGTGAAAACTGCAACACACACTCACAAACACACACACACTCGCATGCGTATAATACACTAATTGAATTGTTGGCGCTGTCATTTGTGTCTCATCTGCTCATCTGTAGCTCATTGGCAATCAGCGCCACAGCGCCTGGGGGCAGGCGTCAAGTGTTTGTCATGCCTGAGCGATCAATTCGTACGACTAACTGCATTCAACAACCTTGAGTAGCACAGCGAGCAATTAATGTTAGACAGAAGAAAACAATGTATATATAAGTAAAAATAAAAATAAAATAATAACTGCAATGCAGTCTGGCACAGTTACTGTAACTCTATAGCTGCTTGGGTTAGGTTAGAATAGTTGCCACACTTCGTGACTCGGCACTTGGCTGCAAATTTTGTGGCTAAAAGTCATTTTCATACAGTGCTGGGAGTAAGATTAATATTTGTTTGAAAGAGTTTTCGGCAATCTCTTCTTGATTACAAAAAGAAGCGAATAAAAGCTATAATAAGAGCTAACGAAAATATGATAGAGCAAGCATACTGAGCTTAAAAAGTATTCGTCAAGAATACATAATAATATACTCTCTTATTCTTTCTCTCTCCCTCTCTTTTGATAAGAAATGTGATATATGTATTTGAGTTAATCTTCTGTAGTTGAAATGATTTCAATATCTGCCTGAGCAGGTAGATAATATTCCCTCTCTCTTACTCTCAGTCTCTTGCACTCTTCACTCTTCTTATTGATATGCCCAACGTGCTGTAGCTGAAAAGATTTCTTATATATTAACTAAGATATATATTTTTTACTACATCCAACTCCCTCTCCCACTCAAACTAACCCTCAGATGACGTCTTATTGGAGTATGTGAATGGCATGCCACAATTGACAGTTCGCCTGCCCAGCCGCAATGAGCTCTGCCAGTTCGCCTTGAAGCCCATCTCGCACACGGTCGGGCATCTGCTGGCGATGCTGAGGGAGGAGGATCGGGGCATAGATCGTGCTGCAATTATCAATAAGCACGGCGTACGCATTGCCTCCTCCTGCACCATCGAGCGCTTGCTGGACGATGAGTTTAGGTAGGTCTGACGGTTTGAGCAAATTATTAATAAAACAATTCAAACTCTAATTTCCATTTCAACTTTATTTGCAGCATACAAATCAATAATCGTAATTTGGATGTCAAGCCGCCGGAACGTGAAAAGATCACGATAGAGAAGATTGACAAAATGGACGAAGTGCGCAAGATCATAGCGCAGGTATTTCAATTATTTCATTTTCCCAAAAGAACTCTAGTTAAATTGTAGCTCGAATAGCTTTATGAGGCCTTCAATGTGGGCGAGTATCAGCTGGAGAAGAGCAATCAACTGGCCAAGGAACTGGAAACTCTGCGCTACGAACTGGAGCCGCTCGAGGAGGTGAGTTGTCTCAGCTCACTTAAGCAGTTGATCTGGACTAACCTGATTATCACTTGGCAGAAAAAAATGGAGCTGGTCAAAAAGGCCGAGCGACGCACCAACATGATGACCTGGGTGGGTCTTGGCCTGATGTCCGTGCAGTTCGGCATACTCGCGCGATTGACTTGGTGGGAATACTCTTGGGATATTATGGAGCCGGTCACCTATTTTGTTACCTACGGCACGACAATGGCCATGTACGCCTACTATTGTGTAACGAAGCGCGTAAGTTGAACGAAAATGCTTGCCAATAAGGATTATTGTAGTAACACTGATTGATTGCCCCGGCAGGAATATATTATGGAGAATGTGTACAACCGCGAGTACTCGTTAAACATGTACAGGAACGCGAAGAAAGCGCAGTTTGACATCGAGCATTACAATCGGCTGAAGCGCAAGAGCGCGGAATTGGAGTACAATCTGAGTCGCATTAACGATCCCATCAATATGAAGCTGCCAGCTCATTTGGTGCGCACCCAGCTGGACGCACCGCCAATCGAGGAGAGCAATGGATTGGAAAAGAGCAAAGAGAAGAGTACTTAAGAACCGTGAGGTTCGGCTCCACCACCCTCGTGCTACCCACAGACGTCTGCGACAAGAGAGTTGCGAGAAGAAGTGAATGGATTTGACAGCGATAGCCTGGGGAGAGAAACGAAAGCTGACGTAGCCAACTATGCAAACTGAAACTCAAACTTACATTTAAAATCATGCGCACGCTTTTCACCAAACAGCTCAGTCATTTAGTCAACGTTTTTGTTTAGTGATCGAAATTATAGTCAACTCTATATACATATATTTATATAAACTCTACTATAATTTTAAAAGTTCTGCTCTTGTATGCTTCTGTTAAACGTCAAGTCCTTTTCTGTTAACTGAATGTTTAGTTAGTTATGCTTAATTTGTAGCCTAAGCCAAAGTTCGAATGGGCCAACAAATGCGCACAAAACAATTTCACAAATGACGTCATCTGCTTAAGGTGTTTGTTTACTTTTTGTTTAGTTATTTATTTAGTAAAAAGAAATTTTTGTTTTAAGCCTCAACTACGTTGTGCGTGTTGTGAACATTTTTAGTGAAATATATATGAATTATTTATTGAATATTTTTTTTTTTACTTTTATTTTTATTATGAAAACGTGGCGAGTCGCTGAGCTGAGTAGAACTCTCTCCTATGATCTATGCATAGAAAATGCTTGTTCTGAAGCCATTTCAATCGACCTTGGGCAGGCTACATTGCTTTAGCCTACTCCAATGACAAATCGTGGCCAGCCTTTGGGCTGAGGCCAATTTCAATAAAATCCTTGGCATATTTTACGGCTGTAGAGTAAATGTATCATAAGAATTGAATTCTCTATGTTTAACTAAGGAAATTGACAGCTGCCGAGATTTGCCATACTTAGGAAAAATATAAATAAATGAAACTCTAGAGTCTAGACATAACTAAATGAACGACATATACTTAACCACCTATGATAAATATATATTTTGATTTGAACAGGCGGCGCTCATCAGTGGGAGGAAAATCGTGAAAACTTGCAGTGAAATCTACTAACTTCCTAAGCTTTAATATACCTACTTAGCAAATACTAACTAAACTAAACTAAACTACTTACGTTAACAACTACTAGATACAGATATATACAAAAATATATATAAACAAATTGTAAATAAAAACGCACCAACTATTTCATTAAGAATTTTAGCAACAACATTTAACACACAACATTTCGTAGTTAGTAAAGTTTACGAATTCTTAAAATAATACGATATATGATAATGATGCCATTAAATTAGTGACAGCAACTAATATCGGGTAGGTACTTATAAATTATATAAGAAGACAAACAACAACAAATTGTACATGTAAATATATAAACTGCTGTGTTTCATGACAACGTAAACGATATTTAGAATCATAAATATGATGAAAATGGCTGCAAGTACAGCGTAGATTCAGTTTTAGTATAAGCAACTAGGCTTTGGCAATTGGCCACTTATTTTTACCGTTATACGCTTTCTTTTATAACTCTGAACTTAGAATTGCGAAAAAGGTTGTGTTGAAAACTTTATGCCTCTATCTACTATACTACTGTACTATACACACACACATATATATATATATATAACAAATATATATTAAACCAAATCTCTGACACACACTCGAAAGCTTAAAGGCCACACTTTAGTCTAGCTTTACAATGCGCAAACTACACTTAAAGAAAAACATAGGCACATTTAAACGAAAAACTAACACACACTAACTAAACACACTAGCCTAAGTATTGTTCATACATAATACAAATATTTTCGAAAACATTTGTGATTCAATTTGAAATTATAAAATAAAAAAAACCTTGTTTTTTGTATGATAAAAGAAAAACTGAAACTTAATTAAAAATCAAACTCTCCTATAAATAACTTTTAAAGTATTTGCCTCTAAAAATTACCTAAAAATTAATTTATGTTCCACTATTTAGCTAAACCTAGAAGAGTATTCCCATGTTTATATTGTTATAATCAGCGCCAAAGACTTAAAAAAAAATATAATATTTCTAACAAGTTGTATAAACCAATTATACCCAGCCTTCTTTAGAAGTTTCTTTAAGCCCAAAGATGCTCGTTACAAATCTTAAATATATATTGTTAAATTTACTTATAAACGCATCACCACTAACCGGACTAATCCCCAAATGGTGTTTAATTACTCCTAAGATAATTATATTCACGATTCTCAAGTACCTTTTCTTTCGAAAAAAAAAAAAAAACCAAGAAATCAATCTTAAATCTTTTTAACGAATTTATAATTAACAAAACTAAAAACCAAACTTTAAAAAAAAATTATGCTAAGTGCTTTAAGTATTCAATTGTTTAAAATTTGACTAAACAAGAAAAACAAAAATTAAAACAAAACGTGCGATTTTTTACATTTATATAAACATAATAAATTTGTTTGTTAAATATAATACGAAAAATTCCAGGAACCCAGCTTCAAAAATATTAACAACAACAAAATAATTATAATAATAAATCAATAAATAAATTAAAAACAAACGAAATACATAATAATAAAAAAAGTATGCAACAAATAGAAAACTGATTAAAAAATTAAAAATAAATAAAATTAAAATAATAAAATGAAAAACAAAAATATAAATATTTAGCTAAAAACTCGTTTTATTTGCTACTAAAACGTACAAAGTACAACGAGGAGATGGGGATATTATGGGATTATTATATATTATGGGGTTATTCAATATTCAGACGCAACGTATTTCCAGCCTGTAACAGCTATTCGAGTCCGTGGCATTCCATCGTACCAGCTCCGCAATGGCTCGACTGGGCTTGAGGAAGAGCGTCAACTGTTCGTTCAGCTGCAGCGGCGAGAATTTGCTGATGATGACCGCCTTGGTGGAGTCGCGGTACTTGCCCACCACCGTCTCGCTGGAGAAGATGCGTCCGCGCCTATCGGGCACCTCGAAGGTGTGCTGCGGCTTATTGCTGGCGTCGTCCAGGAGGCGATAGCTGGGCAGCCGATCGGGATTGTAGCCCAGCTTCTTGCATATCTCACGCACCTCGTTTATGCCCGGCGGCTTGCTCTTGGGAAAGCATTTGGTGTGCCAAATGCCGTAGGACTGCTCAATTACCTGGCCGTACTGCATGCTCGGCTTCTGGTAGCCGTGCTCCGTTTGCGCCCAGTAATCCTCATGCTGGTCCAGCAGCGGATGCTCCAGGCCAAAGCAGAAAAGCTCATCCTCGCCATCCGGGCAGTCGGGCTGCTTGTCGCAGACAAAGTCGCGTGGAATGCAATCATCCGAGCTGTCGAAGAAATTCATTAGAGTTCAGATTAAACTGGCACCTTTCGAGTCGACCTACGAAGTGCATTGGAAGTGATCCGCAGTGCAGTTGCAGAGCACCGAGCTCTCATCGCTCTTGTCCCAGCAGTTGCGCTTGCCGTCGCATATTTTAGAGGGATCCGTGGCTCTAGAGGGCGAGATGTCAATAGGCTTAAAGAAGAGTATATATGTAGGTCTATGTAGCTCACTGTAGATAGGTGAAGCAGCTGCATATGGTGGGCTCATCCGTCATGTCCTCGCAGTCGGGCACATGGTCACAGAACTTGCTCTTCGGCACGCACTTGGCACTCGAGCGGCACTTCATTTCGCCAGGGCCGCAGCGCTGCTTGAGCTCGCGGCACTTGGCCTCATCCTCGTCGCTGCCATCGTGGCAGTCGTTGCGGCCATTGCAGAGCGCCGACTGCGGCAGGCAGGCGCCCAGAGGACAGCGATGGGTGGCGCAGGGGGGCGTTGCCAGAACATTGCTGCAATGCGGATGATCTAAGGGCGATTCACATATACACATGCATATACATATATCAGTAATCTACTCTGAGTAGAAACTTCTGCTCGGGCAATACCTATGACATGCTGCAGCATTTTGTAGGCCTCGTTGAGTTTCCTAATGGCAAAGGGCGACCTGAAGCTGCGGCAGTTGGTGTTGTTGTAGTTGAAGATCGCCGCAGGATACCAGCCAGTGTGCGCATCCCTGCACACCAGCACGCCCTGATCTGTGGGCTGGCTCTGCAGATTCGTTGTGTTCCGCTGGCCAAACTGCGTGCAGCTGGTGAATGTGGTCAGGGCGGGCATCGACTTGGCACCTGCCACGCCGCTCACCAGCTCCACCTCTTCCGATATGGAGGCCATGTCCTCGGCACTCAGATTCAGCATGCGCATCAGGTTGCTCGAGGGCTTGCGCTCTTGCAGCTGGTAGCAGGAGCTGCAGCTGCTGTCGTTCGTGATGGAAGCAATGGCCACGGTCTTAATGCGCCCCGTGCGATCATCGTGCAGCACGCTGATGCATTCGTGCGGAGCGACTTCGTCTTCAGCAGAGCTGGAGGAGAAATTGGGAGTGAGTGATTGTGGATGTGGTCATAAATTGAATTTACTCACATCTCTGGCAGAAACGTGGGCAGCACAAAGTGCGTGAATCTCGCCGGCTGCTCCAGGTGATAGAGCAGCACATTGGAGCGAGGCACTGTCTCAAAGCAATCCACGCGACGTATTTGCTCATGGTTGCTGCGGTGCAGAGAGCGCTTCGTCTTACCGCCGCCCAGCAGGACGCTGATGTAGTGTGTATCAAAGCTGTACCGGAAGGAAGAGGGTATTAAAACTTGACCAAGATCAAGATTAACAATGGCACAAACCTTAAGCCGGCGAGGCAGGTCTCGTGCACCAGCAGCCAGTGCTTGTCCAGCAGAACGCCCAAGCACCACAGCTCGCCGTCCACATAGACATCCGCCAGCCAGGGCCAATGCAGCTCTTCGATGGCCTCGTGCAGCTGCTCCTGCACCAGCAGCGTCTTGTTGTTCTTGCTCTTGATCAACGCTTCCAGGTGATCCATGATCTCATCCTTCTTGTTGACCACCTGCAGCGGCAGCAGCGGCTTGAAGTGCACATATGGCCGCACGTTTGTCTGGATGGAGGGCAGCAGCTCAGGCAGCTGCTCAGCGGGCGGAGGCGTCACCGCCTGGCCAGCGCTAAAGGTTTTCAGCGGCAGCGTCGCATTGGAGCGGGCATTGCACTCCACATATATGCCTAGGCACTTGCTGGGCAGCACGCGCGCTCGCTGCTGGCCGGGCAGCGTCTGCTGGTGGTGGGAATGCCCCAGCTCATTGCTGGACAGCTGCGCATTGTCCCGCATTAGCGCTCGCAGATCGCTGCTAGCCCGGGATTTGGCCAGCTCTGGCGTGATGGGCTGCATCTGCCGTTGGCTAACGAACTCGGTGCTGTTGTAGTAGTGCGCGCCCCTGAAGCCCAGCAGAGCGCACACAGTGTCCGCCGTCTTGGCCTGGTGCTCGTGGAAGCCCGTCTCGTGGGCGCACACCACGCGCCACAGTCCATGCGCATTCTTGGAGAAGATGCCAACGTTGCTGAACTTGGGTTTCTGATGGGCATCGAAGTGCACGTCATGGCCATTGGTCAGAGCAACTATGAGAGGGAGAGAGGGAGAGAGAGAAAGAGAGAGAGAATCATTAGTCAGATGAGAGCATGGCTGAGCATTCGCTTACGCACAGCAATCCTTTTCGTCCTCATTAAACTTGCAGTCGACGACGTTGTCGCAGCGCTTGGCCAGCGGCAGGCAGATCTTTGACAGCGCACAGTGATACTCCTCAGCCCCACAGCCACCTACAGTTGGAGCGGGAATGGATCTTGAGTGCTTCATGTTATCGAGTTCACCTTGAGCTTACCGCAATTCTGCTCATCCGTCAAATCCTCGCAATCCGCCTTGCCGTCGCAGATGAGCGCGTTGAGGCTGCCCTTGAGGTAGTCCCGGCAGCTGCAGTCCAGCTCATCGGTGCCATCCTCGCAGTCCACCTTGCGATCGCAGCGATGCAGCCGATCAATGATTTGTGGCAATCTGCAAATGTTGAACAAATTATTTAATCTCTTAATGACAACTGTTTTCCTTCTTAGCTGACTTCTGGCAAATAAACTTGTTGGCCAATGGCTTCTCCGTTTGAACCTGGCTGTTGTTTGTTGTGGTTGCCTGTGTGGTTGACGTTGTGGCAACTGTCGTTGTTGTTGTTGTCGATGCTGCTGCAGGCTGTGGCACACTTTGCCTAGTTGTGCTGTCAATGGCTGTAAAAGTCGGCCCCAAAGTTGTGCTTGCAACTGCAACAGCAATTGTTGTTGCTGCCGTTGTTGCAACTGTTGCCATTGTTTCGTCTGTGGCATTTGTTGCACTTGTTGCAGTTGCTGTGGCCAGACTGGGGGTGGACGTCGTTGACTCTTCAAGCAGTTGGCTTATCAGGTCCGTCAACTTCATCAAATCCTCTGTGGGCGTGGGCCAAGTTGTTGTTGCTGTCGTTGCTGTTGTTGCTGTTGTTGCTGAGCTGTCTGTGGTTGTGGTCTCTGCTGCTGCGGGCGTGTTGCTCTGCTCCTCCGTAATGGCTCCCGCTTCACTCTCCTCGTTTTCAGTTGTTAAGTCAGCAAACAAGTCATCATTGTCTATGGGCACATCCTGGCGCAGTTTGTTCTCAGTTTGCTGCACTTCCTGGTCAAGTGGCCCCTTTTGTTCCTGGGGATAATAGTCGCTCTCGGTGGTGCTGCTGACATTCAGCCGAGTGCCGCCCACCATGTCCGGTATGAAGTTGTAGGAGCAGCCCACCTCATCCTCGCCGCCCAGACAATCCACATTGCGGTCGCAGCGGCGTCGCTGGGCGATGCATCGCTTGCCGCCCCAGACGCAGGTGAAGCCCGGACAGCGTTGGAGCGGCTGACGTGCTGGCAGCAGACGCGGTGTCACCGCCAGCTCCAGCCAGTCCAGATAGAGGGCGACGCGCGTATAGACGCCAAACTCCTTGGGCCGGGCACAGCCATTGCCGTGGCTAACGACTCCTGCCAAATACCATTGCTCCGGCTGCGTAACGCTACGGCAGAAGAGCGGGCCACCCGAATCGCCCTGGCAGGCATCACGACCGCCGCCCGGCTCGCCGGCACACACATCCTCCGACGCCTGGTCTTCGGGATCCGTGCAGCCCTTGCGTATGGGCACAACAACCTGACGCATGGCATCGCCTGCAACAGACATGAATGAGTGGAATGGCATTTATTAATTCGGACTGCTTGGCTACTCACTGCTCGGCCCCTTCTCTCGAATGGCGCCCCAGCCGACGACTGTGCAGAGCGTGTGCTCCTCGGGTCCCCAGATCCAGTCGTCGCCGAAGGTCGTCCGTCCCACATCCGGCAGACAGATGGGCTTCACCCAGCGATTGAACTGCAGCGGTGCTGCCACGCGCAGCAGGGAGAGATCGTTGCGCATGCTGCGCCGCTCGTAGCCCTGATGCACCACCACATGCGAAACGGGCTGGATTTGCGTAGCGGGTGAGTAGCTGGTGCGGCGCAAGAGTCCAGCGCGCACCTCGTAGTAGTACTTCCCAAAATTGATCACGCAGTGGGCAGCGCTGATGATCTGTGAGGCAGAAGCTGATTAGCAGAGACTCTGAGAGATTCGTGAGAGCTTACCCAGTGCTCGGTGTAGATGGTGCCGCCACAGTGGAACTTGCCATCCCGGTAGATGGCCACTGCGAAGGGCCACTCCAAGGGAGCGGCGTAGCTGCCGCCCACGATGCGACTCTTGCCCGATTCCAATTTATCCTGAATGGGCGCCCGCCTAGAGCGCTTGGAGCGCACGCTCTCGCTCGGCTTGCTGGGCAGGCCGCACTGCCTGGGCGGACACTTGACATAGGCAACGTGGTCGAGCAGCGTCTCCTGGTCATTGCGGCCTTGGCAGGCCTGGGCAAAGTGAATGCCCGCGTGCAGCGATGGCTCAATGAATGGGCCCGGCAGCTTCAGCTGCTTGAAGGTCACATTAGTGGCTTCCCCGTGCTCCGACACTTCACAGGCATCGGCGGCCCATCTGTCGCCATTATTGCAAACCGGATACCACTCGCCCTGATGATTGCGATACAGGAAGCCCTCCGAGGCGGTGGCTGAATGCGACTAAAAGCGAAAGGGAAATGTGGCAGTCAGATTACTCTAGAGACTCCGCTTTCAGCTTACCATGGGATTGGCCACATCTCTAACCAGCAGGCTGCACTGCTGCTCATCGCGTTTGTTGAGGCAGTTGAAGACGCCGTCGCAGCGCTCGTAGCGACTGTAGCACATGGACAAGGTGGAGCGATTGTGTCGCGCATACTCCCCGGCATTCTCGTAGCAGGAGTGCGCCAGTGGCTCGCAGCCAAAGCAGCCCAGCTCATCCTCGCCCATGGGGCAGTCCGCGTAGCCATCGCACAGCCGATCCTCGTCCAAGCGATCAGCACAGGTGCAGGCCGACTCATCGCTGCCGTCCGAGCAGTCGACGACATTGTCGCACCAGCGCGAAGCGGCAATGCATTGCTTCTGGCCAAAGCAGGCCACCTGCTCCGCCTCGGGGCACTTGAAGCGCTCCTGTGGCTGCTGCGGCACGCCCAGATAGGAGGCGTAGATGATCTGGCTGCGCTGCGCCACGCCCGTCTGGTTGGCATGGCGCATCTTGAAGTTGGCATTGGAGAAGCCCGCCTGGTTGTTGGGCGTCATGTTGCCCGTCTGTGCCGCCTGGCCCTGCTGGTTCTGCATGTAGGTGCAGTAGAGCTGCTGCTGCCCGTTGGGCTGCTTCTGCGGCGAAGCGTTCTTCGAGAAGATGTTGGGCAGCTGGTTCTGCGAGCCGCCCGCTGTGCCGGCGCTGCCACCGAAGAAGTTGCCCGACGGCCCGAACTGCTGCGGCACAAAGAAGATGCCACCGGCATTCGATGAGCCGCCAAACTGGGCGCCCTGCATGCCCATAAACGAGGGCGTGGCCGACCACATGGGCATGCGGAAGTTGGCAGGAGTCATATAGAAGCAGACGGGTATGCTGGGCATGCCGAAGCTCGGATTGAACATGAACTGGGCAGAGGCCTTCATCGTCTCGCCAGACACCGGAAATCCGCCAGGCGCTCGACTCGTGAACTGCACGGTCGGCGAGGCGGTGTACGGCTCATTGCTGTCCGCCTCCTTTGCCTCGGCGGCTGCCTTCAACTGCAGCTTGCGGGACAAGTGCTCGCATATGGTGATGAGCTGTGCATCGGCAGCTGCAAGAACAGAGATTCGATATAAATGAGAGTTTATCAAGGGAGTATCGAGCTAGCTTTACCGTTTGTCACCTTGCCACTGACGGGATTTATTTTGGGCCCCAGCTGCTTCAGGCTCTCAGTGTCCTGCGCAGTTCCGAATGTCTCGATGAGCTCGTCCTGCTTCGGTGCTGCATCCTTCTCGAACTGCTTCAGCCAATGCTTTCGATCATAGATATCCAAACTCTCCGACTCGTCAGACTTTGATGTGTCGTTGCTGGGCAGGACATGGATCAGCGGCTTCTCCTCCTCATGGCGCTCAAAGCTGTCCAGCATGTTTTCAATACTGCTTGGATTATCCAACGGGTGTACTCCGCGCGCTCCTTCAGTGGTGCTCTCAGTGGTGGTTTCAGTGGTTACGGCTTCGGTTGTTGCAACCACCATGTTTTCAATGCTGGTGGGATTGTCTAAAGGATGTACCTGAGGTGCTACTTCCGTGGTTATTAGAGTGGTGCTCTCAGTGGTATTGCTGGTGGTGGCTTCAGTGAGAGCCGGGACTTGGACTGTAACAATTATCATATTTTCCATGCTCGATGGATTATCTAATGGATGTGCGTCAGCTGCCCATCCAGAGGAGTTGTTGGTGGTTATGTGAGTGGTGCTCTCAAATGTAGCTTCAGTGGCAGCTGTCTGAGTAGTTTCATTCAGCACACTTTCAGCTTCAGTGGTAGCTGTGATGGTGGTTCGATTGGTGCTCTCAGTCGTGATGCCAGTGGGTGTGAGTTCGGTGGTGTCAGTCCCAATGTTCTCAATGGTTGTAGGTGGGTATGTAGGTGACGACGCGACTTCAGTTGCACTCTCAGTGGCGATTGGCGTGGTCGTGCGAGTGGTGGCTACAGTGGTTGGCGCTTGAGTTGTGCTACTCTCCTCATTGCTGTTCACATAGCCGTCAATTATCCAACTGATTTTGATTGGCTTGGGCTTAGTCGGAAAGGCCGTGTGGTTGGCACCATCTGTAGCTACGGTCGTTGTGGTTGTATGGAGTGTTGTAGTGGGTATTACGGTGGTTGTGGGAGTGGTGCTCGTGTGTATTGTACTCTCCACCTCTTGATCTGCTATGCTCTTGTGTGTTGTTGTCTCATTCAGTCCTCTGGCAGTGGTTGCGAGTGGTGCAGGTGCATCTGTCGTCGGCTTTCTGGTAGTTTGCTCTTTCATATGGTTATCGGAGTGCAATGGCACTGAGTCATGTTCGATGCTAGGTGGTATAGTGGTTTCTATGGTGGTTTTATCCATTGTTCGCTCTGTGGTGTGCACAATCTCCTTGGGCTTATCGAAACGATCCAAGATCCAAGTGATTTGATCTGTTATGTTGTCCGATTCGGGTCCTTCAGTGGTTAGAATTGACAAAGGATGGCTGGTGGTGCTAGTTAAGGAGCTGCTGTGGCTGGAGGTGGTTTTATCTAAGGCTGTTGTCGAAGCTATCGGAGATGGAGAAACCCTAGTGAAGCTGTTATTACCAGTAGGTGTTGTTGTTGTTGCTTCCATGTCCATCATTGTCGTAGGTAAGGTGCTCTCCATTGTTGTTGTAGCGAAAGTGGTTGTCGTTCCGTTGCTCAGGTCCAACATAGCTCTGGGCGTATTCTCCACATACGCCTCCTGCTCATCGTGCCCGGGTCCATCGATAATCCAGCTGATCTGCGCTGGCTTTATCTTGACCCTATTGGGCTTCACTGTCGTCGTCTCCTCGTTGTCTCCATCGCCAGCTGCGCTGCTGTTTGTGAGCGGAGTCGTCGCCTCCTGCAGTTGATCGACTGTTGCGTTCGTCGTCGCCTTGGCCGGAGCATATGGCTCAAACTCGTGCGACTCAACACTGTGTGAGTCCAGATGATCCCGAATGATTTCCTTCATCTTGTCCACCTTTTCGGTTACCTCCTTGGCCATCTGGTACATGCGCATGAAAGCCGACATGCAATGCTCTGGCGTCTGCTTCTTGCACCTCACATACTCCGTTTCAAGCTGACTCAACACTGCCCGGGCTCGCTTGTTGCGCATCCTAGTATACAGCTGCTGCATGTTGGCCTCCAGCTGGATGGGATCCAGCAAATCTAAAGACTGCAGACTGCGTCGCGATCGAAGCTTCAAGCGCTTCAGCCGAAACTTGAAGCGCAAATGCTTTAAGCGCAATAGCTGCTCCTCGCTCTTGGTTGCAATCGGCTCGGAATCAGCTTTCCTCAGCGGTGTACGAAAAGGTTCCAATTGCGGCCCTATTACGATCGCCTTCTCATCAATGGGTTGCACATGACGCGCGTGTTTCTCATTGAGCGACATTATTTGACGCAAGCGATCTGTATTTGAGGAGTTATGCAATATTTATGTATGTATGTATGTGTATATAATATTCGTCTGAAGCTGTTGCTGCTCTATTTACCCATGCGCTCCAGCACAATGCCATAATAGATGAGTGAGATGAGTAGTGTCGCTATGACCAGCAGGGATATGATCAGAATACGTGTATAAGGCAGGCGAGCAGTGCAGCCCCGGCGTGAAAGACGCGGCGAACGCTTCGCTTCGAGTTCTGGGAAAGCGTAATAGATTGCAGTGATTCAATTTTAATTATAATCTATGAGGTCGAGCTATATGTTATAGAGATATGAATTCTTTATAGGATTGTAATTCCTTTGCTGAACAGCTTTCTATGAAATATGTATGTACAATATCAGTTCCCCTGATTCTCCCATTCTGTCACCCACTCTGTCTCCCTCTCCCTCTCTCTCTCTCTCTCTCTTTCTCTTCTCGCTCATAGCTAGACTCCTCAATTTGATTTTATTCCTCTTATCATAAACGTCGCCCTCACAGGCAGGGTATAATCCAGTCGATGCCCTTTCATATACAATGTATGCAGTCATATATTGTAGGAGTCAAGTTGAACTCATTTTAGTATTGCTGTGCATTGAATTATGTTTAACAACTTATTAACTTAAACAGCAACAACTCAACACTTTTTTTATCGAAAATATTTTCAATTTCTTTTTATTTATACATTTTGGTCAGCGAGTTCTCTGCAGAGAAGTTTCGCAACCTGAAGAAGTGCTGATGCACTAAATTATGGAAACTGAACAAAATGAAAACATAAGCTTAAATAGCTGCCAAGTATTTAAACTTTTTTTATGGTGATTAAGAAAAAAACATAACTATATATTGGATAATTAATGCTATTAAGATTTAGTTTTATATTTAAATATTTTTAGTGCAAAGCTTGACATACCATCCAAACTTTGACTCATTTTAGTTAGATATATATATTAACAATATATATTAAATTAGTTTCTGCATATTTTTGAATACACTAAACAATTTCTAGTTGAGATTTCTGATATGATTGTATTTTATTTTTGTATATTTCACTTTGTTACACTTGTTTATTACACAGAAGACGAACACAAAAAAAAAAAAAAAAAAAAGAAGAAGAAGGATCCAATTACAGCGATTCACTTAAACAAAAATCGGAAACGAATAATCCAAATTGGGCTGACGGACCGACCGGCTCTAAGTGGTAGCACACGATATAACTGAATAACGACGATTTCGAATGCGAGCGACTTCCGCGCGCTCCAAGCGGCAACTGAAGACATCGGCGGAGCCGGGCCCGCTTTTGAAGCATTCGGAAAGTGGATCAGCTTGTGTGCGACCCACTTTGATGGTGGCGCATTTTGCTGTGCTGTGTACAAAATGTTTTGAACTTTACAATTTTTTGGTTAATGAAAATTGCAATTGAAATTGCGAGCGATGCACAAAAATGCGTCTAGAGTGCAAGTTGAAGGGAATGGCGATGGCAACAGAGCAACGAACCACCCACCAGAGGCCAATCAACAACGCATCAATTTCAGTATCAATTGGGTTCTTTGGGTTTCTTCTTCTGCTTTGGATGGCAATGCCCCTTGTTGGGGTCGAGCAAGCCTTGATATTTTTGGTTTTCAGGTGTCATTTTACAAATTTTGTACACTAAAAACGTACAACAAAAATATTTTTTTAGTTAAAGACCTCGAAAAACAGACACGCAAATAAATATACCCGTTAATAAAAAAACCTCCATGAAAACTTCCGAGGAAATAGTCCAAATCAAAATTTTATTATCAGATTTCTTGTAAGTAAATCTATTACATATTCATTTACCAATTAATCATTCTTCATTATTATTTAGATTTATAACGCAGAAATCACTCACAAAAAATTGATGCAAAATTCAGTAAAGTGTCTGCTTTATCAACTACTGCGATTAGTTCACCTCGCACAGCGGGTGAGCAAGATGTGCGGTACAATTCTATACTCTCAGCCGAGCCAGAGCGAATGGTGAGTTATTTCGAAAGTTATATATTAAGTATAGCTTTAAAATAAGCACTTTTATAAGGTTCTTCAAGATAATCGATAACTCGTTCAGTTTACTTATTTTGTTCAAAATTAACGTAGGAATTAGTATTTCGATAATTCATTCATATCGAGTATTTGTAAATCAATATCAAAAATTAATTAACTTATAGTCATTCTTCGTAACTATATAGCCCGCAATGTGAGCAGTAATTAGTAAATAGAAAATGGGGTTTATAAAGTGGTTCAGGCTAACTTGTCGTCCGCATTTGGAATTGGCTTGTTAGTGGGGAATTTTTCGTCAAAGACCAGCTCCATCAGCTGGCTAAATAGCTCGCGAGTCATATTGTTGCTGACACGCATTAGCATAAACCAATCGGCGCAACTAAAATTAGCAATGGCGCGTTTCAATGTCGATTGGGGCATGAAGCGTGTTTGCGCGCGCAGCAGTTGAAAGCGCAGACCGCGATGAAAAATGATGACCAGGCGATAGATGATCTTCAAGCCTGCCAAAACGGCCATTAGAATAAACCAGATCCACATGAAAACAAAGATTTTCTCATTTAAGTTGTTCAGCGGCAAAAGGCACAGATTGTCAATGGATTCCAGGGTGCCGCTGGAGCCGAATTTCAATATCTCGCATTTCGCTATTTTAGGAAATATGTGCGTCGTGATGCGATTCCATTCATCCCAGTTATAGGCGGGCACTGCAGCCACAGCCTTCACATAGCGCGACCAGAAGTTATCCAAGAACACATTCAGCAGCAGCATGTTGACAATCTGAAATGAAACACTAATTAACTAAAGATTCGGGTGAAGCAGCTGCTGGAACTTACGCTAATTACAAAGTTGCAAATTTCACAGAATATATAGGAAGTGAAATAGCGGAAGTGTGTGTCCTGGTAGTCGTTGGTAAAGTATTTGGCCAGCTTGCGTAGATGTGCTGTAGTCTTCTCATTCGATTCCAGTACATTATCCAAATTGGAGCAGAGGCTCTTCATGCGTCCGCCTTCCCAAATCTTCCACAGAAATGCTGGCAGATAGAAGATAATCGATTGCAGCAACAGGACGGGCACCACCCATTGGTAGTAGCGTAGAAAGACGCGCTCTTGTGGAATTGAAGGATCCGCAGTCAAAGGAGCCGCGTTATGTAGTAGATTACTATCCATTTTAGGCTTAAATTCGGCTCTAAGAAACTGGTTCTTATAATCCCTCTCAATTTTCTTCTCTTGTTTGTCCGCTAATTCGTCATCTTCGTAGTTCATAATATACATCCCCATTGTCCAGCAATGGGAGTTTACAAAGTCCTTGTCGTTCATGTTCGATATGCAAATTAGTGGATCACCGAAATATTGTTTTGCAGATAGCAAAACTGTGAAAGCCAACAAAAGGGCGCAAGTTACTTTAGCGTGGAATGTGAAAATGCCATCGTAAATGCGAACCGACTTCAGTTGCAAATACTTCGAAAGTGGCTTAACTGCCGTATACATATTTGGCACTATTTAGTTAATATGCACCGTCAAATATTTTAATTGAACGCTTCTTCCGAACTCATTCGCAGAATTTCTTAAAAACACGCGGCACTATAACGGTTAATGTAATTAGGGCTCAGCAACTGTTGCGTTTACAGATGCGCATTTCTGTAAACGCTTTTTGAGGAGCAGTTCTGTTAACTGAGATGCTGCTCCTCAGGTATCGCTTCTATTAATGGTGTAAACCTATAAATATTCCTAATTAATTCTATATTCATTTGAATGCCAGACGGAATAATATTTACAAAATAATTATTTATGTTATTCAACAAAAACAATATATTTGACAAATTAATTATTTTAAAACGAGGTATCGCAAATAGCAGACAGCAGCAGGGCAACATGTTAGCATTAACATACATGCAACAGCTGGTTCATTCGAACTTGTTCCCAAAACGAATCAGAAAAACTATAGAACTCACATGTGTTTTCATCTCTATTGTGTCGTGCAGTTTATCCAACAGGCGAATGAAGATGAAGGAACAACAATCGTCCAAGCAGCAGGAGCGCAATGAGAAGAAGAAGAAAAAACTGGCAGCGCTGGCAAATCTAATACAGTTGAACGACAGGGATCGCTTACATGAAGCAGAGCAGAAACATCGCGATACCGAAAATGAAGACGAGGAGGATGACGGCTTTATCACAGTGTGCAGCAAGCGAAAGACACGGAATCGTCTAACTATTATTGCAGACAGCAGCGGAGACGCTGCTGCCACCGCCGATGCTGGTGAGGCGGACCACGATGAGCCAGAAATCAAGCGCAGTCGCCACAATTCAGCAGGCGGCGACAATACGCTTGCCGACATGCCGGCCACACTCACCCAGGAGCAATACAGGTCTCTGTCCACGGATCTGCGTCGTCGCAAGCGCGAACTGGAGAGTGTGCCAGGCGTGCATCTACGTGACATGGGCCGACGTGCACTTCTCGAAATACCTCAGGAGGAACGAACGCCCATATTCCTTACAGACATACAGCATCTGTTGATGTCAGCGCTCATTGGTAAGAAGAGTCCATGCGCACCCGATCGCTGGTGCTGTGCCGACAAGTTCCAGAGCTTATCGCACAGCGTGGTGCTAATATTGGATGGCCTATCGCTCTATCACTATATGTCGAATGAAAGCCGTTTCGAGGCTACCAATAGGATATTCGATACAAAGCTTGAGGTGGTGCTGCCACCGCATGAGGAGGGCAGGATCATTGATACAATTGCGCAGGTCAGTCGATGACAATTTTTCGTTAAACTGAATTTAAATGTTATCGCTTAACTTCGTTTTCAGATTCCCCTTACCAGTGTCCAGGCCCAGAAGCTGATTAACGAGCACGGCTCACTGGAATCAGCTGTAGAACTGAACAAGGATCCCACGCTACTCGTAAAGGCGATTTTCCCCATTGAGAAACAGTCGCCGTCCACAAAAGCAGAAGCACCCAATTTGCATCCAGACGACAAGTTTCCTCGCACAAAACTATTGCTCTCCGCATTGCAATTGGTCGACGAGGGTTATCCGATACCACTGCAGGGCGAGCTACACGCCCGATTCAGGTCGTTTAAGTTTACAAAAAAATCATATGCTCCAGTTACCGATCGCAGTCCCATGTACGGCGTTGATTGCGAGATGTGTCGCACAATAACCGGAGAAAACGAACTGACGCGTATTTCCATAGTGGATGAAAAATATCAGACCGTATATGAGACGTTGGTGCGTCCCACGAATAAAATCACTGACTACTTAACGCAATACTCGGGCATCACGGCTGACATTATGCAGTCTGTGACGAAGACTTTGGAGGATGTGCAGCGGGAGGTATCCGAATTGCTGCCGCCAGACGCAATTTTGGTTGGCCAATCGCTCAACTCTGATTTGAATGCCATGCGAATGATGCATCCGTATGTGATAGACACCAGTGTGTGCTTCAACATAAGCGGCGTGCGAAAGCGCAAGAGCAAGCTCAAGCACCTGGCCCAACGATTTTTACAGGAGAGCATACAGCAGCACGAGGATGGACATGACTCCATTGAAGATTCACTCGCCACACTCAAGCTTGTCAAGAAGAAGTTGGCCAACAGCATTGAGTTTGGCGACGAGATTCTCACACAGCGCAAGCGCATTTATGACGTCATTCGAGCCGCCAGCGGCGATGGCCTGCAAAACAATTTGTTGGCCCATGCAGCCAAGCGGGACAAGCGCACGGCTATCGTGACTGTTGGTGATCTGCAGCCTGGCCTGAAGGAGGTCATCAGAAAGGCAGAGCAGGCTGCTTCAAAGGACAGTTGCAAGACGGTCTACGTGCATCAGGTGGCCAGCACCAAGGAAGCTGTGCGCAAGGTGAACGAAATCGCGCTGGAGAACGCACTGACCATTGCCAATCTGCTGGTGCCCGAGCAGGACTTTTTGCTAGAAAGTGCTCAGCGCACTGCTGCCAAATTAGATAGTTTTATTGAACGAGTCTGGAACGCAATGGCCCACAATGGGCTACTCATGGTGCTCATGGGCGGCTCGACTGAGTGTCAGAAAGGCGTAGCCAAATTTGCCATCAAACGCCGCAATGGCATCGCAAAGAGCCCTCTCATTACCACGGTTGCAGCTGCAGACTCTTAAACAGGCGAGCATTAGCTACACCCACCCACACTCTACATAGAATCATGCACATATACGCAAATGCTTTGACGAGTAGAATAGAATAGAAAGCCGAGAAAGGTAGCATACAAACCCAATGCCCAATTCCCAATGAAACAATTAAACAATCCAAGAATCCACAAATTCGCGTCCAGTTTTCGCCCAAACCTTTGGTACATGTCGCAGCGCATCAGAGCGAGCAATGTGCTGAACGCAAATTAGCTGTAATTTCCATCTGATGTAATGCAAACAAACAAAAAAAATGGAAAAACCCCAAGAAAAGAAGAAAAAATACTTTTAGCATTTGTACATTTTCAAGAGCGATACAGTATCAACGTAGGACTAAATTTTCCACAAACAAAAAAAATTGTAAAAATCTAAGAAAAACCCAAAGACAAAAAACTTAAATTTTTACTTTTTTCGATGCAAGCCCAAAAATCCACGTTGTTTGTAAATCAAATTAAGAATCAATAGTTGGTTCCGGTAGCCAGAACAGTGACACGTTTTCTAATGAAATCCTCAAATAAATAAAAATAATTGTTATCTAAAATGCCTGTTGTTTACTATATATGTATGTGTATGAAATATGTAATTTTGCATTTTGATTTACATAGTAGTTGACATTTCCTTGAATACTACTCACACCTCTCTCGCTTAGGATTGTCTTTCGTATAAATCTATATGCGAAGGATGTGTGAAAAGTATGTATATCAAATAAATAATCAAAGCAAAGGAATAATTTGAAAATATCTTGAATATTTTTTTTATTTAAGTAAATAAATAAAGATAAATATTTGATTTTGTTTATTATTTAAAATTGGTTAATAGTTTTACAACTTCCTTTGTTTAGAATCGATGTATATTCATTAACTTTGCGCTTTAGCAGCTACTAAATTATAGACATTTATTTATAATATATGCCCCTCCATTAAAATGTGTGTTTTCTTAGCACTTCATCTTGTATATTTCCTGAAAATTCCAGTTTCCAAGTGTTTAGTAATGTTCGCTATTCCATAATTTTTCACAGCTTTAAAATTTGTTGTAAAATTCATTACGAAATTATTCGGCAGTTCGGGTGGTTCGGGTGCTGGGGTTTGACCTAGTTTTCGTTAGTTCCCGATTCTTGTTTGTTTTCGTGCCTTTCCCGCGGGCTGCCTCGCTCTCTGTGTATGTGTCTGTGTGCGTGTTTGTCTGATAACAGCTATAAATTTCCTACCTCACTCAACGCAGCGCTCAGTTGTCTAGGGCCCACAAGACCTATCTCCTACCAAAAAAATTGCCTCGGCGCCCTCAAACACGCTCGCACTCTCTCTCTCTCTCGCCCTCACACAGATTGAGTCTCCCGCTCTTCGTGTTCTCCACTCTCTCGCTGTCAGTCTGAACGGGGGAAAGCGAAAGTGTGGAATAGTTGAGCGTAGGCTCGTTGTCGTCATCGACAATGCGTCTTATCACACGCTCGAATATGTTGCGCCTTGCACTGAACAACAGACGATTACTCATACGACCTGTGGGTAGGCGCAGAGCGGGCAGACGCAGTGCGCATGTCCGTGTCGGAAAAGCTGCGAGAGTTTTCCCCCAGCACAATGCTGCCAGATGCTCATGTGAAATATGTCAAAGAAACTCAAACAAATACATTTCATCACCGAATATTAATATATATAAATATAAAGATAAATCAACTTATATGAACATTTAGTTAACAAATTCATTATTTCATCCAGAGTTGGGAGCAGGAAGCATTTGTTGTGTTTGACATGGAGGAAAACGGTGGCAACGCCAATTTGGGAAATTTGGTATGTTTTTCTTTGGTTTGTTTTTGGCCGCGGATTGCTCAACTCTCGACATCTCTGAGAGTCTGTGTGTGTGACTGTGTGTGGCTGCCTCTGTGTGAGTGTGTGTAATCCTCATAAAGGCACACCAAATATTTTGTTGTATATACGCTTTTCGGCTCTCGAGCAGCGACGTTGTCGTAGCTGCCTTTCGAATTGCTCTGGCACGGCGCGCGCAAAAAAAAAAAAAAACCTGCTCGATAAATACGCGAAGAGAATATATATATATACATATATATATATGTTCAATATATATAATGTCTATAAGAAGATCATCTGTGTGATAAACAAATGCAGTTTGTGTCTTGTTTAAACATTAATCGGGCATATTGCAAATCGATTCGTTTGGCGGTTCGACTGAATAAGCTTCAACAAATTCAAAAGGAATCTGTGCCATTGTCTTAGTATACTATACGATTTGCAGCCATAAACTGGGGTAAGTTTCAATTGGCATCCGCAATCATAATAAAAGCGTTTAATATAAACATAGGCGAGCGATTGGCAAGCATAAATTGTGTATCCATAAGAGACAGAGGCACAGACACAGAAACAGACACAGACACGAGTACAAACAGACACCCACACACTCACACACACAACGCGCCTGCTAAAAGGAAGCAAACGAGAGTTTCTTACATGTGTGCGTGCGTGTTTGTATATGTAAGTTGTATGTGTGTTAAAACTCGTTCAGTGTGTCAGTGTTTCAGGCAGCAGCAACAACAACAACAGCAACAGTAGCAACATCAGCTGAGGCTGCCTTTCGGCTCGGCTGTCGCATCGCGCATACGCCGCGTTGTCAATTGTTACTTTTCTGCCCATTGTGAGTCGCGTCCATTTGGCTGCAACGCGCCCTTGGCACCGCACTCTCACATCAACATCATTATCAACAACACCGACTGCCAGTTGGTGACGACCTCAATCCCCGCAAATCCTAACGGCCATCGTTTCGCACTTGATATTGGCTATTGGCCTAGCCAGCACCCGCACCCGCACACACACACCTACACTGTCTACACCACCTTCATACCCTGCAATTTGTTCACAGCTGCCGCTGACTTTCGCGCCGCTGCAAATGAAAATTTGTTCGTTTGCCTTATTTCCCTTATTGTTTGTCGCTGCTGTGATGAGAGCGAGAGCGTGCTCCACTTTCAGCCCCGCCAGCTGCCCGCCCACCACCCCAGCTGAACATGGAACATGTTGCGTAGGGCGGGCTTTGCTGAGGGTGAGTTCTTTTCCCACGTTTACTTTGCCATGTTTTGTTTGTCTTTGCTTCTGGCTTTGGCTTGCAGGTGAAAGTTTTCTCTTTTGTTTTCCATAAGTTTGATTGGCTCTTTTTGTTAACTTTAGTTTCAATCATATACATTATTTATGTATATGTATATACATAGTGTTTTTATTGATTTTATGTTATGCTACGGCTGCTACAATTTGTCTAATTTGGCTAATGACTCAATTGTCGGCCTCCCGGAGTGTTTGGCCTCTTGACTGATTGCTCTGACACATTGCTTTGGCATCTTTTGTGTTCTGCCGTTGTTATGATCGCCGGCCGGGTCTATGGCTGACTTTTTAATTTCACCATTTTTGTCTGCTATAACACTTGGCACACACCCAACAGAAAAAGCATATATGTATGTATGCGCCTGCATTTTGGACTCGTCATTTGTTGTTCTCGAATCGCACAACTCATTGCTGCTCAGCTCTAAAGTGCAGCAAAATAATTTTTATGGTCGCTATTGTTATTAGGCTTAGTATTAGTGAAGCCAACACGTGATATTTACAGTGGCACTATATGATGTCATTTGTCAGCACATTGTAATCCTGTCATAGGCCACCACGACTCCGCGCTCTTATCTGCTATGACTCAGTGCAAGTCGCCACGAATCGCGAGCTGTGTTGCAAATCAAATTACCTCACTGTGCGCCAACATTTGACAGGCTTCAAAACAATTCGTCATGTATTAGGGGGCCAAGCAGAGTTCGATTGCATTTTCCACGCAATTAGATATGAAGTCTCTAAATGCTCATTAGGTCAGCTTTAATATGTTGACTAGTTCCTAAGACAACTGACGCCACAAATATAGTTTTCTTTAGCCAATCGTATAATTTTAGATCTTTAGCTATTCGGAGATCAGAGACTTAGTCTGAGATAACAGTTGGCGTGAAATATTCGTTAGTTCTAGCCCCCATTTTCACTTTCTCTTCATTATGTTGCTCATTTTTGTTTTTTGGCAAAATTTGAATGCACCGTTTTATTTATAGAGCTGTGGGTTATCGCACTCGGCCACAAACACGCTGAACTTTTCTGTGGCCGGCCAAGTGTTTTATTTTTGGGCCCAGAATTGGACGCCAAATTCTTGGCTCCCCATGCGGCTACAGGTACATAAACACTCCCATTGATCATTAGGTGCGTTTTCATTTTCGAAATTGGCTACGCATATTCCAGTTGTTGTTCTTCCAATATTTTGTTTGTGTTTGTTTGTTTGCATAGCTTTGCCGGCTGGCACTTGGAAATAGTTGAGAATTTGTTTACAATTTGCTGCCTTGTGCATAATTATGTTTAATTAAACTAATTAAAAGGCTTTCCTACTTTGCTTCTGGTTGTTGCTTTCCGTTTTTGCTTTTTGTATTTTGCGCTCTGCTAATTAATTTTCCCAATGAATACAAATATTTGATCTGTTACTACGTGTTCATGATAATGGCAATCGTAAACGGGTTTTAATGCTCAGCATCTGTTCGAGTTTTACATGGAGGAAGCCGCCGAGTCGAATCGTCGCATAGTCACATTGCCCACAAAGCCTGCCACTCAGCTGAGGCGCAGTCGAACATACACAATGTCAAGGTAATGCGTGCGCGATATGTAACTGTTAACTGTAACGCAGCAGCAGCAGCAGCAGCTTCCGCCGTTACGATGACGACGATGACGACTCATTAACAGTTTTAAGTGAGACCCTAACCTCTCAGCCCAACAATATTGTCATGTGTAAATACGTCTTTAGCTCGAGCCGCGCTATGCGAGCTACAGAGTGATGTTCTTAAGGCGCGTAGTGTGACTCATTTCAGATGCACAGTCAATATAGATACCGATACTAATACAGATAGATAATCGATAATCGATAGCAGAATTTGAATCAATAACAAAATATCGATAACTGTTATCGGTTGCTGGTAATGGTGATAATCTGGTGAGGGCCAAAGATCACCGATAATATATTATCGATAATTTGATATCGGTTATCGATCACTTCCTATCGGGTATTATAAAAATTTCGATAAATAGTAACACCTTATCGACAACAAATTATCGATCACAGATATACGCTACCGATAACATATTATCGATGTCCGATAAAATATGATCGGTAACAGATAGCATATTGTAAAAATCCGATACACACATCGTTAACAAATATTCGATAACCGATACAGATACGTTGTTGATTAGGCCAACTTATTAAACCGCCCTCTTGTGTATGCATTTCTATTTAGGCTGCAGCTTTGCCATTGCCTTGGTTGCTGATAAATGTTGCTGTTGTTGCTTTGCCATTGCTGGATTTGGCTAAACTCTTCATTGTTGTTATCTATAAAAAAATTTTTTTTTGCTCATAATTCGTGGGCAAACAGAACGCGTCGACAACAATTACAGTTGTCAAATATCTCGCATAGGTTGGGGTAAGGCAGGGGCCGCAACGCCTACGCCACACAGCCCAAAATCCAGAGTCGAACGCAGTGGCACACCCAACGCCCACGCTCACGCCCAGATCGCTGCTCTGCAATCGCTTTGATAATTTGAAAATCAAACATTGATTGTGGCTGTGGCTCTGGCAGCGGCTATACTTCGTTTTATTTGGCACAAAATTATTTATTTGCTGTTTGCCGAATGCTGTTTGCGGAATAAATTACATAGATAATTGAGTCGTTCAAGTCGAAGTACTGCTGTCCATTTCCGCTGCACTTCATCTGGAAGTTCTTGTAATTTCATTAGTCAATTTCAGAGCTAAGGGACTTACATATGTAGGTGAAGCAAAGTCAAATAAAATTTGATATGCTTTTGAGTTCACTTTACATGGAGCTGATTTTTCTGTGAATATATTTTTGCTGAATTGCAAATTGTTGGAATAATTAGTTACACATATTACAGAAGATAAGGATATACGCAGCTGAGAAACAAAGAGATGATTAAGTATAGTTATTCATTATTTACTATATGCCAATTTTTTATATATAATATATTTTATGCAGAGCACATAGTCGTGTTATCTTCTACAGTCCTCGCACACATATCTACTATAAAATGTCGGTATGCATTTGTACTCGCATTCGGTAGCGAGTCGACGTCAACGTCGACGTTAGCGTCGACGCCAAATATCGGCCCAGCGTCGTCGGAGTTGTTCGGAAAATAAGGCAGTTGAAATTCTTAGCTCGCCGCGTTTAGTTCGCACCCTTCGAAGTAGTGCGGAATTAATTGCCTATATTAATTTCGGAACTATAAAAATAAAATATAATAAATTATACTATAAAATGTGTCATACATATACAAACACACACACTCACACATACACATGCAGAGAAGTTAAGGCAAAACGAAAATAAATCGCATTTGATTGATTGTTGGAAAGAGCCTTCAGTGATAAGAAGCGGCCACATAAATAAACTATAAAATGTAAGAATTGCATGGCCCGATCGACTTTCAGTCCTATATAGACATCTAGTAGCTGATATGTGTGTAAAGTTCAAGTGCGCGCACCTTGAAAACTTTGATTTTGGATAGCTTTTTGGATAGATTTCCCGCTCAGCAACCGGGCGTCATAAACCACCGCCCACTCCACCCGTCCATGGGAGACTTTCAATAAACAAAAGCAATGGCTTCAGATCATGATTACGAACGTAGTGCTAATTCATCCATTGTGATCCACATAAAAATATATATATATATGAAATCTATATAAAAGTATATAGTCTGTGGTCGGCTTGAGCTTGAGCGGCCAGGCAGCTGCTGTGCAGATAACGATGCGTCGTGTAAAACGTTCGACATCATAAATTTATTTGCATTCGATAATTTCTTTATTGAGCAAATATAAATATATCGTATAAAACATATCGAGAGCACATTACAATCTTCGGGGTGCTCGACTAAGTCACCAGACCAAGGGGAGCAGTAGAGCCGATTCATGTTCAACTCGTTGTCGATGTCGATGTCAAGAGCCGGCATCAGCTTTAGCCGACGTTGTCTTCCTTACAACTGTTCAAACAGATTGTGTACTTGTGTGTGTGTTTTCTTTTATATATTTTATTTAATATTTGAACTTTATTTTCATTTTGCCAACTTCTTGGCAATCATGGCATGCCATAATTAATTTTGTTTGCATTCTACTTAGGGCAATAATAACAACAACAACAACAACAACAACAACAACAACAACAACAACAACAACAACAACAACAACAACAACAACAACATGAACAGCAAATGGCGAATCAAACTGTGATAAAAAATTGTAGTCTCTGAACACACGACGTTTAGGTGGGGTTACGCCGCGCTATAGCACAAATAGTAGGGTCTCTTTATAGAACCAAGAATGTAGTGAGAAGGGGAAGTCTACTAAGCAAATGCGTGATATATAATTTCTATGTTGAAGAATGTTAATCTCAATCAAGTGTCAATAAAAAAATGTACAGTTCAAACAAAACAAATCTAGTGCTCTTAATAAATTACAATGTCTAGTCTCACAAAAACTTATATTCTAAATAAATCACATTCAAATTTATAATTATTTGTGAATTGCATTCATGCATCTTGTGTGATATTCAACTAGTTTAAGTTCCTTTAGCCAATATTCGTATTACCCACACCAGAGTAGCTAGATACATATGCACTCTAAAGGTATTTGAAAGTTTGTTTTATGGTGTCTACTAATCTAATAAATCTATTTATATATAGTGTGATATGACTTGTTCAGCCGGATGTGATACCCAACTGTTGGTGTTTTAAATTTGCAGGGTATCTAACAAAGGGGACCTACTGTTCGATTGAGCTTTTTTCGGCCACTATAATTGATTTTTTTCGGGGGCATTTTACAATTTATAGGCTGACTTGTAGCTGTTTGATATGGTCGCGATTGTCGGCCATATGATTTATGGCGATAAATGATGTATTGCAGCCAAGTTGGCGGCAATCAAACGATTGACCTCTGGCCAATCACAAAATTTTGGCACTGCCCCTAAGTCGAGTGCCTTAATTAACTAATTTACGATCGCGCGAAAAAATCAGCGATTAGTAATAATAACTAGACATTAAACGATTTATATGCTCAAGTGTACTAATTGAGAGATAAAGTCGGAGTGGGCACTTTAGTTGCTTATTTAGCCAATAATATTGAGCTTATTGATTGACTGCTGTGGCGAGATACCGATAGCCGAGGCTGACTAATAACAGATAACGGGTGTTTCCCCTCTAAACTAATTCTCTATTTACTGGCTGTAACAGAAGGAATTGATTCCGCTCAACTTTGGCCTATCTCTTACACAAATAACTGTTCAACTGGCAGCTACAGCCAATTGGCTTTAAAAGTATTGGCCGTAGATAAGCGTGGACGAGCTTTCGAAGTGTCAGGCAAAGCTATTTTGCATAGATAAGAACAAATTAAATGTCTTCTAGGCACCTAGCACATTACTTTTGTGTATTTTAGATAATTAGTTGTATATATACTGGATTCATATTTGCCTTTAGTATAAGCGAGTTTGTTTAGGGTAATATAATTTGGAGTGCGAGGAAATGCTAATATTTGATTGTTTCAATTCATATAAGTCGAGCTCATTGCTAACATATGGATGCATTAACCTCTGCCCTCTGCTTTCCAGTTGGCCAAGCGGCGGCCTGGCAATAA